TATGGTCATTGCTCCTTGTCCTGTTGGGCACCACTGAAACCAGTGAAAGTCCCTTTGTACCTTGTGTTGCACATCTAGCCATTTGGGCTGCTGGCATCAAAGTACTTGTCTGTGTTTGTAAAAAGGACATCAGAAGTTTTAGGATCTGATCCTGACCTCTGTTCTCTGCTTGGCAGCTCTGGCTGTCCCAGGAGGTACTGACCTGCCCCCTAAGAAGAGGATAGATGCCAGGAAGAAACTCTCCAAATCCATTGAGAAGCGTTTTCCTGAGGCCAAGCTCTTCCCACTGAACACGGAGCAGGAATCCTCGCTGCTCCTGAGGCACCTCAGCTCCCAGAAGCAGAGGCACCTGGCTTTTCGGGATCGCCGTGCTCACCTGCTCGCCCATGCTGCTGAGTTTGTGCCCAGCCAGGACAGCCACCTGGTTGGGACCCTGAAGGTGTCCGGCTTTGTGCAGGGACAGACCCTCAACGTGAACAGCCTGGTGCACATCGTGGGGCACGGGGACTTCCAGCTCAGCCAGGTGGATGCTCCCCCTGACCCGCTCTCTTTGAACCCACGAGTGGTTAAAGGACAGAAGAGGAGTCAGGACATGGAGGTTCAGGTGTGTGGGGTGAGAGCTTTGCCAGTCCTCTTAAGACACAAGGCTTCTCAGCTTTCATTGGGGGAAATACAGCTGGGGGTCTGTGGGTAGGGAGAGGGAAAAGGGAGTTTTATTCGTGTTCTGCTGCTGGGCTGAAGTTCTGTGCCTGCAGTGTGTGGTGGAAGTTATGTCACGATATCATGGAGTTCCACTTGAGACTGAGTGCAAGCTTCAGTTGGGTGTGTTCAGATCGAGGAACTCTGCTCTTGCCCTTCAGGACGGCTCTGGAAATGGTGCTGATGAGATGGAGGAAGATGTCAAGGTTCTGATGAAGGCAGATCCCAGCAAGCAGGAGTCTCTGCAGTCAGAAGTGGTTCCTGATCCCATGGAAGGGGAGCAGACGTGGCCCACTGAAGAAGAACTGCAGGAAGCAGAGGGTAAGCAGAAGTAGAGATAGTTCTCTATCTCTTCCTTGTCCCTCTTAGGAGGGTTGTTAGAAACTTCTGTCACCGGGGTGGCTGTGAAGAAACATCTTAGTTGGGATGGTTTTCATCCCCAGTCCCATCAGGTGGCCAGCAGGCTGTGTGGTTTGCCTGGCAAATGAACAGATTCTGGCTGTCCTGACAAATTCTGTGCTGGAAAAATAGCAATTCTGGTCTAGATCTTATTTTGGCTGTCCTGGTATAAATATTGCTGAGGGGAGGGAGAACTGTTCCTGTACTAACCACTGGTGGGAATCCTACAGATTCTCTGAAGGCAGACAGGAGGGTGGTGAAGGTCCCCAAAGGCACATCCAAGTACCAGGCTGCCTGGATTGTGGATGATGAAGAAGGCAGTGAGAAAGATGACGATGATGATGATGATGATGACATGGATGATGATCTGATGGAAGAGGCAGTTTCTCAGGTACCTCCAGGAGCTGATAGTACAGGTGATCTCCAGGCCATTATTTCATGTTCTAGGAAGATTCTGTCCTTCTAACTTGCTTTGTCTATGCAAGGGCATGATGCAGAGTCAGGATTTGCCTGGATTTCCACTATTAAATCCCCACATGTAGCACATTGTGTCTTTGGCCTGTTAGACCCCAAAATGATGGGCTGGGGTCCCAAACCCACAGTGTGAGCACAACCAGGGTGCCAGTGCTGCATGCACAGCTCTGTGCTCACAGGCTCTGTGCTGCCATGTGCCAGGATGGGGAGAGCAGTGAGGAGGAAGCTGGGGAGGAGGAGAGCGAGACCATGACCGTGTCCGAGTGCCTGCGGGATGAGCAGTATGACGAGAAGATGGAGGAGGATGAACAGATGCTGGAGAGATACAAACAGGAGAGAATGGATGAGATGTTCCCAGATGAGGTGGACACACCACGGGATGTTCCTGCCAGAGTCAGGTAAGAAATGGGATGCTTTGCTGGGAGTGGAGCTGGAACACCTTTCTGTTTAATTTGGTGAGGAAGCCTGTGATGTCTTAGCCGTGGTGTCTGAACCTGGCTGAAGGACTCTTGTGAAGACTCTCTTTGGCTCTGAGGCTTCAGACAAGTCACTGGTTGTCAGGGAGAGCTGGGAGGTGGTGAAGGATGGGATTCACCTCAGTTGATGAAATAATTTGTCCTTCCTGCTCTCTGTTCTCAAGGTTCCAGAAATACAGGGGGCTGAAAAGCTTCCGGACTTCTCCTTGGGACCCCAAAGAGAATCTTCCAAGGGATTATGCCAGGATCTTCCAGTTCCAGGACTTCTCCCGAACCAGGAAGAACCTCTTCAGGCAAATAGAGAAGGAGGAGACTGAAGGAGCTTCGGTAATTCCCTTTTGCTGATCTCTTTCCCTGCTGAGTTCCTTTGCTCCCGATAGGAGTGACTTACCAGGGAGGTGATAAGTGGGGTGGATCTTTCAGCCAGCTGGTTCTTAGCATGAAGCCCTAAGTTCAGACAGTTTTCTCCTGGACTCCCTCCCTAATCCAGGCACATCTTGTGACACTTTTTTTTGAGAGAAGCATTCACAACCTGCTGCTGTCTTGGCAGGTGGGCTGGTACGTTACACTTCATGTCTGCAATGTCCCTGTCTCGGTGATGGAGAGCTTCAAGGAAGGGAAACCCCTGGTCCTGTTCTCGCTGCTTCCCCACGAACAAAAGGTGAACAAAAGGGAAGGTACCTTGTAGGCATGTGCAGCTCCTTGTTCCTTCAGGCTGCTTGTCTTGGGGAGGATCTGGCTGCAGAGGGTTTGGGTTAAAATCTCCCCACATTGCTCCTGTTTCAGGGCAGGTCAGAGCATGCAGAAGCTGCTGGGGGCAGGTTCAGGATAAAGTGTCTGAGCCTGGCACTGGTGACCAGTGACCTTTTGGGACCCTCTTTTTGAGGACATTCATCTCTGCTGCAATGTCCTGTTGCTTTCTGCTGCCCACCATCCCCTGCCAGCCCTGCCAGCAGCCCCTCACTGTGCTGCCTCTTCCAGATGTCCGTGTTGAACTTCCTGGTGCGTCGGCATCCGGGCAACAGCGAGCCAGTGAGGGCCAAGGAGGAGCTGATCTTCCACTGCGGGTTCAGACGCTTCCGAGCATCCCCCCTGTTCTCCCAGCACACCTCAGGTTTGTCAGGGACTGCCTACAGCAGGAGTGGGGTTGGGAATTCTGGAGCAGGAAGCCTGTGATGTCTTAGCCATGGTGTCTGAACCTGGCTGAAGGATTCTTGTGAAGACTCACTCCTAGGCTCTGAGGCTTCCAGGGCAGGCACTAAATCGTGGGGAGTAGAATGGCTTGGGAAAGGTGGTTCACTGATCCAGGCAAGGAACAGGTTCCATGCCAGAGGATCACCTTCATTCCCAGATACTCAGTGCCAGCAGAGGAGGGGTGTTGGTTGAACAGTGAAGAGTGAGCTCTTGGGGTGTCCCACAGCTCTGAGGACTGCTCTTGGCCTGAATCTGATCATTGCTGTTCTGTCCTAGCTGATAAGCACAAGCTGGAACGTTTCCTGCGCCCAGATGCTGCCCTGGTGGTGACTGTTTATGCTCCCATCACCTTCCCTCCTGCCTCAGTGCTGCTTTTCAAGCAGAGAAATAATGGTGAGTTGATAAATGCTGAGGAGGTGCTGTCTGGAAAACAAACTGTCCCCATACCCTGCTTACAAGTGCATCTCTCCAGAAAGTATGACTTGAAAAAGCTGTCACCTTCCTGCTGTTTGAGACGAGCTCCTCTCCATTCCTGTCATCACTGTCCCTGCTGTGGGGTTGCTCTGGGTGCAGCCCTTTGGGGAAGGGGTTTGTGGTGGGGAAGGGGCGATGGAAGCACCTGGTGCATTGGTGACTCTGCCTGGCAGGAATGCATGACCTCATTGCCACGGGCTCCCTGCTCTCCGTGGACCCCGACAGGATCGTCATCAAGCGCCTGGTGCTCAGCGGCCACCCCTTCAAGATCTTCACCAAGACAGCTGTCGTGCGATACATGTTCTTCAACAGAGGTACAGCTGGGCTCTGGTGGAGGAGGGGCTCTGGAAGTTCTGTCCCTGTGGTTGTGTCGGTGCTGCACAGCCTGTTCCTCACCTGCCTTTCGTGTTTCCATCTCCAGAGGATGTGATGTGGTTCAAGCCCGTGGAGCTGAGGACAAAGTGGGGACGCAGAGGGCACATCAAGGAGCCATTAGGTAGGTTTGATTTGGTGTTTATCTCTGTGTTGCTGGCATGGTGTGGTCCTCCTGGGCCAGAGAGACTGCTAATGGCCTCTTCCCTCTGCCTAGGGACCCATGGGCACATGAAGTGCCACTTCGATGGGCAGCTCAAGTCCCAGGACACGGTGCTGCTGAACCTCTACAAGCGCGTTTTTCCCAAATGGACTTACGACCCTCATGTCGCGGAGCCTGTGCCGTGGGTGAGGAGTGAGAGCACGCTGCCAGAGCAGGAGGTGGAAATGGAATGAGTCTCCAGCGTGGCTGGAGTTTGTGCCTTGGCTCTCTGGATGCCGTTCTTGGCCCGTGCGCTGTGAGGACAGCACTGATGCCTTGGAAGTGTTACTGCTGGGGTCTGTACAGGGGCAGCTGCATCGCCAGCTGCTGCTCAGGTACTAGCTACAGTTATTTATTTTAATGGAAAATGTCAAAAATGCCTAAGTGCCTTTGTCGTGGTGGTGGCCAGGAGGCTGTGTGCACCCCTTGAACTGAACCCCCTGGCCCACTGGGATTGTTTCAGTCCCTCATGCCCTGCCACGTGGGGGGGTGTGGGGATTTTGCCGTGTGAAGGAGTTTGCTGGCAGTTCCTGTGATGTTGAGGAAGAAGAGCCAAGTAGCAGCTGGGGAGGGTGACTGAGTGCAGCTCTCTGGAGGCCTGGCCCAGAGCAAGGCAGCTGGGGAGGGGAGAACAGGCAGTGCTTTGTTTCCAGGCTCCCCACAGAGATCAATGCCAGCTTCCCTTGTCCTTCCACAAAAACTCACAAACGTTTGGGCTTGATCTGTTTTTAGTAGCGCACAAACCACTGCACAAATTCAGAGTGAGATTTTCATTCCTTAAAACGCCCCTCCATACTCATTCTGCTTTCCCAGAGAGGTCTGTGAGCCAGGTCAGGGATCTCAGGTCCACATTTCCCCCACACAGCACGATGCAAATGTTCTGCACGTCCCAGGGGACGGCCTGGAACCGCTCCGAGAGCACAGCCGCCAGTCCCACGCCTGCTGTTGGCTCAATCAGCAGCTTCATCCTTTCCCACACCAGCCACGTGGCTCGCTGTCAGGACAGGGCAGCAGCTGTCAGCCCAGCAGCCAGCACAGGCTGCTCCAGGGCATCCCTGTAGCACTCTGGGAAGGGAGGGCAGAGCTCCCAACAGCCCTTTCCAGCTGGAGACAGCGTGGGTGTCACAGCTGCAGTGGTGCACAGGGGCTCCTGCTGCTCTGGGAGTGCGTTGGGGTGAGAGCAGAGGGGCAGAGCAGGGATGGAGGCAGCTGTCTGCTGGCAGCTACCATGAGAAGGGAGCTGGGAGCCTTTACCTTGATTTCTTCCTCTGAGACTGTCAGGACATCATCAACCAAATCCCTGATGATGTGCCACGTGTTGGGCCCGATGCTGGTTTTTACTGCGTCTGCAATGGTATCTCGCGGGTGGAGGTTGGGGGTCAGCTCCCCTCGGACCTTGGACTGGTAACAGTCATCCACATTGCTTGGCTCAGCAGCAAACACTTTCACATCTGGCCTCAAAGCCTGGGGAGAACAGGAGGAGCAGTTTGGGTGACACCAGTGTGTGCCTGTCCCCCATTTCTGTGTGCAGGGGGCTAAGCAGACCCTGCTGCTGCTGCCATGCAGACCCTAGGCACCCACAGATTTTCACTGCAGGGCCTTTCTAATGTTAAAAGCTGCTGCCTGCCTTGAGGGTCCTGCCCTTCCCACAGGGAGATTCCTGGATAAGCTCTTGCCTACCTTGATGGCGACTGCTATTCCTGCAACCATTCCTCCGCCTCCGACAGGAACCACCACCGCATTTACATAGGGTGCCTGTGTAGAAGGGGAGTGTGAGGGTTTCTGACACTTTGTGTCCCCCTTTTTGCTGTGCCCCTGCAGGGGCTGGGCTGTGCATTCCCCTCACCTGCTCCAGCACCTCCAGGGCAATGGTGCCTTGCCCTGCGATCACCGCCGGCTCCTGGTTGGGGTGCACCAGGACTCCTCCTGTCTCCTGGACTACACTGGATGCTGTCTCGGCTCTGGACTAAGGGAAAGCACAGCAGTCACCTCTCACTCCGGCTGGGCAGTGTCCCTGGGCAGTCTCCCCTGTGCCTTACCTTGTCACTGGGGTCACACGGCACCAGATTGGCACCATAGGCACGGATGGCATCTTGCTTACACTGCGGGGCTGTCCGGGGCACCACGATGTAGGCAGGAATCCCTGTGGGATGAGAGAGGATGTGAATCCAACAGCCTGAAAGCCACAGCAGCCAGTCTGAACCGCAGGAGCAGGCAATGCCTCGTCTCTGCCAGCTCCCGCATGGGCTCAGGAGAGGGATCTCCATCCTCTCCAGACGAACCAGCTCTGCATTTCTCTCAGAGCTGGGCTTGAGGTCGGGGGTGCAGGTCACCTTCTGCCTGGGCAGCACAGGCGAGCGCCTGTCCGTGGTTGCCGCTGCTGTGTGTCACCACAGCTCGGGGCAGCTCCCGGCCCGTGCGCCCGCTGTGCTCAACCAGGCTCCGCACCGCGTTCAGGGCTCCGCGGATCTGCAAGGACAGCACAGGGCCCCGTGTCCCTACAGCCTTCCCTCGGTGCCGGGCAGCACCTGGGGATGGGCGGAACGCGAGTTTCCCTCTTGCAAAAAGCGATCTTTGCCCCGGGGAATTGCAGCGCCGCCATCCCCGCGCACCTTGAAGGATCCGGTCCTCTGCAAGAGCTCGCATTTGAAGAGCAGCCTCCGGCCGGCC